AGTGTGCAGCCATATGACAAGCATAGCGTGTAGTCTCCTGTTTCCTTTCAACAGTGTGGTACTCAGTTGTCAGACTCGGAAGTAATTATCGACCAGGGCTTGAACCGAGAAGTTCTCGGTTCTAAATTCGATGCTCTAACGACTGAACAATCCTGATATGAAGCAATATGTAATTAATTCTTTGCTCAAGGGAATTCGTCACTAAGACAGATTGCCCTCTAGCGGAATGGAACCTCGTACCTCTGGTGTTCGAAGCAGACCTCATAGACACCGTGCCGTCAGCCACAGTCAATATTTTGTCAGAAGTCTAGTATAGTTTCTATCCACGTTGCCAGCCTTGGGACATTCGCTTATGTTTCGATATTTTGAACTGTTATTTAATTTGATTTACTCTTACGTTTACGTTTTGAGGTCAGAAGCAATGAACTGCCATTCAGACGAAGAGTTTTTGGCCAAGGTATTCTGTATACGGAGCGCTTCAAACGTATGTCACTTGGCTACCGTTCTGACGCCACCGAGTATTTGAGCAATTACGTAGTGTTGTGTTTAGCTGTTGTTCGCCGATGCAGTCAAACGTGATTGGGTAACGAACATTGGGCGTGAGCTCATCAGCATGTTGTTGAACAATGCCGGGAAGGCGCGCGTTTCGTATTGTCACGCTTCGTCGTAACAGTTGTCTTTTGTAGGACCCAACGATGTTTCAACACATGTATGACCGTCTTTTGGACTACGTGCAAGATCCGGAAAACTGGCGAGGCATCGAGAACGAACTTAAGGGCCGAAAGGTTTATGGCGTCACTTGCTGTTTACCATATATTCGCTGTTCATTTCTGGCTGTTCAGGTGCAAGAACTAAATTTCTACGATGTGCTCATGGATTTCGTGCTTATGGACGCATTCGACGATCTTGCACATCCGCCGGCGTCAGTACTCGCTGTTGCGCAGAACCGGTTTCTTACCGCTAGCTTTAAAGAATCAGTGCGTACTTTGCGATGTTTAGTCAAGTTTTACTCTGTCTTATGTGGTGATGACGGGGTGGGTTTAAATATTTTTTTTACCGGTTGCGCCTTGTGTTGAGTGATTCAGCTATCAGACTGGTTAAGACGAATTGCAGCCGCTAGGCGCGCACCCAAGGTGCATGACTGCAAGTCTCGCATGATCTGGCTTTTCCACATCAGAATGCCATGGTATCCTTGTCGTTCACTGATCACTATTTTACTAACCTTTTCTCCGTGCTTGACGGAAAAGCAGTTGATATGAGAAATTATGCATATTTAATTCCAGCTCTTCTAATACTCAAACCGAACTACCCACTTACCAATTGCCCCCTCAGTAGAATTAACGCGTCTAAACCTACCGTTTATCTGGAAAGCGTGCAGTTCTTTATTTAGGAATCACTACTATTATTCAATTACATCAAGTGATGTTGTCTCCATTACCTTCCTTGAAACATAGCATAGGTAGTATAAACATTACTTAATCTCGAATCCTCTGTCAAGGGTTAGGGAGCTGCACTCTTCTTAAAATCCTCGCTTTCCTTACAGGGCCGCGTTCTGCAGTTCTTCCACCATGATCGATAATGAGTTCGCTTTACTAAGTGTTGATGGTTACTTTTAAATGCACCAGGGCGTTTATCGCCACAGGATGACTTCTTACTTTACTCTCCAGTTCTTTTGTACTTCTACCCTCATTTCCTTATCTTTCAATAATTTTTCTCTCCCTTTAACAGCAGCATCACCGTCTGCCGGGCATGCTATATCGTAATTTCTGTCCGGATTTTCGCTTAGCTTACTAACACGTTATTCTGATGATGAACCCATATTTCTTTCTCAGTTCGAATGGGGAAATCCTAGAGTATTTCCACCTGCTCACTCTCTTCCACCAATTTATTCTGATGTTTCGTCCATTACTTTGCCGCTGATAAGTCGGCTGGCTTGCACAAATGTCAGTAGACTCCCTTGCAACGTTTTCCTGCCTTTCCCTATGTTCTCAATCTGGGAGTATTTTCCAGCCAGAAATTATATGGGTCACCGTCTCCTCCTTCACTTGAAACATTCTGCACTTTGTTCCTGGCTTCTTGTGCAGGATCATTGCTTTGCACTAGTTCGGGATTAGCGGTTGATTTTGGCTGGCTGTTAAAAGGACTTCCGTCTCGCCATGGACTCCACTTCTTGATAGACAGTCGAAAGTTTGGTAGATGTCTGTATCTTCACTGAGTTAGCGAAGATGCTGTCCATGAAGCTCTTTATTCTTCCAACCATTGCCACATTTTCCTGATGATGATCCAGTGAGACCTCCAGGATTAATCTGGGGTATGTGTGTTGAAGGAGACTGTTCTAGTCTCCAGTTGTCTTGTGCCGAAGTTCAGACTCTGAAATAGTGTCAGGAGCGTTTTAATCACTGTCTGACGCGTCTGCCTATGCGTCCCGATAGAAAAAGGAGCCATGGAAAGTAAAGTGAAACGAAAATTTTGAACGGCATTCAAGGATGTCAGAATGAAGAAAGGACGCATTAAAGTTTTACTTGGGTTATGTTTCGGAGGTCTATGTTCTCTCCATCTTCAGAACAGTAGTGATGCAAACAGAGTAATATTATACTGGTCCAGTTAATATTGCATGATTGATGGTACCGTGCTTGTCATTATTCTTGGGGGAGAGTTTTGTTTTCAGTCCGTGTGTCGTTGGAGTAAAATATTGTGCTCATTTCACATTTGTGTGCATGAATGATCAACGTTCTCATGATTTTGTTTACGAAGTATCTTAATTTTCTTGCCAAACCTTTAACATTTCCACATGAGACGATGTGCTACTTTCGTCTTACCGTTCATTAGCTGAGCTTTTCTCACATTCCACTGTGAAAACTTTCAGTAGTTTAGTTACATCCTTCCTCTTTGTTTCAGGCAAGTTTTTTTGGCGTCAGTGTTCTCCAACCTGATGAGATTTCTTTCGTATTGTTTTCTTCTATTTAACGGTCTTTTTCTTGCTGGATGTTGTCAGCCTCGCTTATGCAGAGCATGATACGTGTACGTTGAGTTCGTACAAGGAATTTTATCGCTTTATTTTCTCTTTCTTCGCCTTGGCAGAGGCAGTTGCAAGTTTTACTCAGACTCATTGCAAGGCTAGGGCCAGCTTTTGAGGCGATACGTTTTAATGCTTCGTTGAGAAGGCGAAACCTACCTTTGATGGAGCCTGGTTTTCTTCATCCTTATAAAGATACTTGACGGCAACTCTTGGCATGGCGTTGATGACAAGTAGAATAACGTTGATTGTAGTATGTACCTATTGTTTGTGGTCGGATGCCCCTGCTGATGACGCTTAATTGGCACACGCATGATCTGTAAGCTGATTTTTTTCTCTCTCGTGA